TACACATAAATAAGCAATTTTAAACAGTCATCATAAATAAATATAAATAAATTCATGTAAATAAATTGAAAAAAGAAATCTAGATCGATTTTTGGGGTATTACACTAACACATACTCATATATTGATTTTGGTAACCTATGTCAATGACAACACTTTTTTCATCAATCAATTAAACATTAGTCTTAATGTATTATTGTTATCCAAGCTCAAAATAATATATGACTATAAACCTTTAAACAATAATTGTATTATTATTAGGAATTTATTATAAAATAATTTATTTGCACACACATCAAAAGAAAATGAAATAATAATGAGATATGCATTCTTAATATGAAATTTGAAATATATTAATACATTCTTAATATGAAATTTTTCATAATGCAAGTGCATACATATACACGTTCAAATGGTTTTTAAAATCAGGATGATACCAAAGAAATATCACTACAAGAAAATATACCTTTAATGACACACAAACGATGACACAAGCTAATTTATGACTTGCAAAAAATGTGTGTCATAAAAAAATTTCATGTTTCTTAAAATTTGAACGATTTATGACTTACAGTGTGTCATATTTAATAGCCATAATCCAAAAAATTTAGTAAACACACGGAGTATACTTTTCATTGTGTGTCATCTCTAAAAGTCATCTTTTAATTCCCCCCATAATTTTCATCACGTACGCATGCTTTCCCGCTGTAAAATTTCAAAGCCTACCTTTCCTCTCTCTTCACACACAACAAATCTATCTATGTCCGTACAATCCCCTCACCACGCTAATGGCGATTGGTCGAGAAGTAGCAATATCACTCGATGGTGTGAAGGACAAGAAAGTGATTCTATTAAAGAAGCTCAACATTCCTATCTTTCCCGTTCGTTACAACGAAAAGTAGTACGACAATGCTCTGGTTTCCGGCGAATTCACAAAGCTTGGTTTGCCTCCTTTCCTCCCCCACAATCTTTTCTGGGTTTTCATTACTTTCTTTAGAAAGCATGTTATTCTCCCGTTGTTGTGTTCGATTCTTGTTTGGGTTTTTTTCTTCACAATTGTTTCTTTTTGAATCTTGGGATTTTCTTTGTCGTTCTTCTGTATATTTAATCTAATAGAAATTTATCGGCGTTTTTTAGTAAATTAAGGAATTTAAGCTGCTGGTCTTGATTTATGCCTTCATTTCTCTTGTTTTTTGTTCTTAGCATTGGTTAATTGTTGGTCTTTGTGGTTTGATTTACATTGACTTTTGATGATATACTACGAGTGGCCTTTGATACAAATAAGGTATTGTAAGTTGTCAGTTCAGTGTGCTCCCATTTGATCATTGGCAAAAGTAATTTATTTGTTGGATTAAATAGTTCCACTTTAGATTACATTGTTTTATTGATTGTGTTCGGAGGCATTTATTGAAACCAAGAAATGACTAGATATTGTTCAGTTTATGCCTCAAAAACACTCTTCAGTTCTGTTGTTGTGCTTGTGCTGCCTTGCACTCATATGCTACTGATTGTATTTGGTGCACTTGTTGATTCTGCCATGATCTTCTGCTTATTATGAAACGTTAATTGATCCATCCCTATCCTGCATTTCTTTTGAACTTTTAAGCTATATGTAGAAGCTATAAGTATTTTTTTTTTCTGAAGAATTTTCAAGTCATAAAATCCCTACCTAAAGATTTCCCAATTTTGAAATTTGCTACCCTGCATTGGAGGGCACTTATTGAGTTTTGATGGTCTATAAAACTGAAACTGTAGGAATTTCAAAACATGTCAGTTTTTGGAGAGTATTTATCCTATAACTTTCTTCTGCCTTGGTAATTGCATATTTGTTTTTTCTCCTTAATACTTAGGTCATTTTACTATAAGCCTCACTGCGGATTCTACATTTGAGAAATTGGCATTTTACTATATGTTTGTTCTTGTTCTGTTATGATATGTTATCTCCTATTTAATTTCATGCAGATGACCGATGCCTTTATTTGGCAGGTCTGGGTACAAAAGGATTTGTTTTGCCTGGAAAAACGTCAAATGTGAAAGTTATACTCAACGGTGGTCAAATTGTTACTTATCTGAGACCTGATGGATATTTTTCATTGTATCCTAATGTTCATCAATTTCTTTTAGATTTGGGGGCTGGGGTTGCTAGGGTTTTGAACCCAGGGTTTCACTCCTCACAAACCTTCTGCCACTGAGGCCAAAAAGTTGTTGGCAATTCTTATGCATTGATCTGATTGGAAATTCATATATTTTTTTTTTCTTTGCCCTTTTGATACTGTATTTCTGTTATTAAATAATGAGATATTGTGTAAATTGGGTGGTAGTAAATATTTCCTCTGAACTATTATAATCCCTTAAAAAAATGCCTAAAATCCAGAACATATCAGTAGGGACTCATTTGATTGAAGTGACTGCAATTGGCTATTTCTTTTCCCCTGTAAGATTTTTCTTTCTTCCCCGACTCTAGGAGAATTTTAATGGTTCAATTATATTGGTTTTTCTTCATTAACATTAATGCCTTTCGATCTTTCTTAGGTTAGAGTTGATGTTAGTGCTAGAAACCCAGGCAAGGTACAGGCAGCATTAACGGAGAACCGGAGGGGTCTCAGTGAATTGGTTTTAGATCCATTGAGAGAGGAACAATATTTTGAGGTTAAGGAGCCTTTTTCTATGTATGTTTATGTTTCTTTTTGTTTGCAGTTACTGTCTATCCGTTGCTTCATGTTTATCCTACTTTATTGCAGATTAGGGAACCTTTCTCCATAATGAATATTGTGAAAAGCCCAATGGGTCTCATGGTGGGATTTATGGTGGTGGTTGTTTTCTTATGCCCAAATTAGTGGAAAACATGGGTAATGTGCTCTGCTACTCGTTCATAACTTGGTAGCTTTCTTGAAGTTACTACTTGCACTAGATTTATAAGAGTTGATTTTCATGGAGAATATGCTGCTTATGTACTTGCTTGCATTTGTTTTCTTGATTCGGATAAAATCTCCTATATTGCCTGTTTTCTGCTTGTATGAAGAATAATTGAGCTGCAATTTTTCCCAAACATTACATTTTTAACAATTCATTCTATTATTTTCAAATGCTCCTGCCCCTCTCAATGTATAGGCTAGAAATTTAATTTTTGCTGATTTTGTCGACCTCTTGTCTATTGCAACAGATCCCGAAGAAATGAGGCGAGCACAAGAAGAAATGAGAAACCAAGGAGTTCCCTGCCTGGCTAGTTTGTTACCAGGAGGTGGGAGGAATTGAGTGTTTGAGCAAGAACCATGAACTCAAAGTTAATGTTCAGTAAAATCAAGGGCGGTTTTGGTTTGCAGAAAGAAAGGATGATGCACCTTGAATTCTTGGTGGCATCTCAAAGGTTATGTAGTTTTTCACTTTAGTTGCAAAACTTATCTTGTGATTAAATTGATATAACAGCTATTCATTGTTGTGATGCTTTGATGACAAAAACAAAGACAAGTTAGAAAATATTATTGTTATGGACATGATGGGTTTTGTTTGCTTGAAGAATTGACAATACTGTTAAATGAAATCTAAGTACTTATTTCTGTTTTTACAATTATTTAACTAAATATTTACTTCTTGATGATTGTGTTTGGAGATAAGCTTTGAAATTTCCCGTTTATTTATGAGGGTGATTTAGCTTCTCGTTTATCATTAACTCCCCTGTCTCATCTTTGGAGGTATGGTAACCCCTCCCCCCCCCCCCCCCCCCGCTAAATGGAGCTACCTGAGCTTCCGATGGCTATTTTATCAGTAGATATCAAGCATTGCAATGTATATGCTTCAAAGAATGCATATGTAAAATTGGTCATTTTAGTACTCTTTGATAGTTATATACTTCACTTTAAATAAGTATAAATTATATTCTTATTTCATATTTTTTACTTAGGTTGGTGATTGGGAAGGAAGAATACACGAATAATGACATTGATGATATTCACAAAGAATGGGTATCTTATGTGGCAAATTTTATTATGCCGTGATATTTTGTATCGACATATGATTATAATAATTTTGATAACTTAATGTTAATATATTGTATGCAAATGGATTGCTTATATATAATATGATATATATATTTAGTACTATGAGGCATTAAATGTGATTTAGTTTGATTATTTGTCAATTTACAATATATATATATATATATATAATTTACGACATACAATGTGTGTCATAAATACGTGTCATAAATTTATGACACACAAATTTACGACGGGAGCTTCAATGACACGCAATGCGTGCCATAAATGCGCATAATAAATGAGTGTCATAAATGTCTGTCATAAATGCGCGTCATAGATTTATGACACACAATTGCGTGTCATCTGAGATTTATGATAGTGGCTTCAATGACGCGCATTTGTGTGTCATCTGCACCGATAGATGACGCACAATGTACGTCATTAAAGGGGGTTTTTCTAGTAGTGTATACAATAGAAATAAGAAATAACACACTAAATAATTATTTTCAATACATCATATTTTAAAAAATATATATCAAAATTTGGGTCTATTTATTGAAAAAACTTAACCACATTTGATAACGAAAGGATCAGTTTGATCTCTTAGGGTGAAAAACATTCCACAATCAAAATTTATCGACAGAAATTAAATTTCAAAAGGCAAAAGGTGTTGAACATTGGAGAAACCAATAAAAAATTGAAGAAAAAAAAGTAGATATAAATATGAGATATGATCTTTAAAATATGTAAAAAAAAATTAAACATACCAAAATTTAACTCTCATCCTTAATTTCGTACATGTTAAAGCTAGGCACAGACAGTTTGACTTCTATCTAAATAGAAGAACCATCTAAAAAGAAATCTAAATATTATCTAAATAGGACCGTCACCTGTTGATTGATAATATTTTGTGACGAACAGATTCAGACCATATTGTCCCGGTTCTTATTAGATGTATGATATCTAAATACATGAAAAACTTATCCGAAACTCGTATCCGAATCATAAATTTGACCGTTTTCGACTTAGATGTCGGATAAACCAGATTCCAGGGTGAAATCTTCAAGGTATCTCAAAGAATAGTAAGGGCTACTCGGTTGCATATCTGAGAGCATCTGACGGAGTTTAGAGGCTTCCTCTTTGAGCTGAGCATTCTCTTGAACCACCTCAACATGGGTTTTCGAAACATTGTTGAGCTTATCTATGAGCTGATGATTCTCATTCCTGAGCCAAACTAAGTGTGCCCATAGCTCATCTAGGAGCCTTTGTTTGCGTATACGTGACCTACGTGCAGATTCCCTATTAGATATCACCCTCCTTTGCTTTCTCTCGTTGACGAGGCTTTGTTGTTGCTCTAGCTCATCTGCTTCATCCGACGTCGAGTTGCTGCAGATACATGATGAATGGGGATTGATTTCACAGATTTGGGGAGGGATGTAGAAATTATGAAGGGTGTTCGAGAATCTGTTAAACTCGAACGAAGGTGTGTTCGTCTGGATCATGCTGAAATGAGCTGAGTATGGGGATGGATTTGCAGGAAGTGGATATTGGATTCTTGAAACCTCAGTTGGATACATTATTTGGACAACTGTGAAGTGACTAATCTCTTGTTGGAAGGGGAAAGAAAGCTTGAGGAAATGAGGTTCTTATAGACGAAGGCTGAGGTCATGGTCCTACCCTAAGGCAAAAATAATGGCAACTTGTGGGCAGATTAATGGTCCATAATTTGCTGCTGCTTCCTTTTGGAAAATAGTGGGCAGATTAATGGGTAACTTCTTGTATGAACATATTAGAAAAGTGGTCAATTCTTTTTTAATTAAGTAGAGTATTACATTTTAAGGTAAATATTAAGATTAAATTTCACATAAGGTAAAATAATACAAGTATCTTTAATTATTTGATTAATTAATGAATCTAGAGGTTAATAGTTTCTTAACGGTAAACTTTTCTTTCATTATAATCTAACAACCAATCCAAGAGCAAAATGAGAGAGAAAAAGACATACACTCACAAGTTGATTGATTTCGGAGGAAAAGTTCAGATTTTGTTCATTCATTTTTAATTTAAACATCTTTATATTTTGTTATATTAGTTTATGAGTCTAATTGAATTTTTTTAAATAAAATTTTCAATTTTCAATTAAAACTTAAAGTCGTGTGGACACTCTAGTCAACAATATTGTCACACAGATTTTATTGCTTTGTTATAACATAGACACAATGATATGGGCACAAAAATCAAAACAAATACAAAAGAAAACATTGGATAAAGACTCAATATGTCGATTGATTTGTTGAAGATTTATATCAATGGTTACAATTAGAAAACAATATTCAACAATTTTAATTGACTTAATGATAATGTTACAATATGCAGTGGGCGACCAAGCTTTTCTTAAAGTATCATTTTGGAAGAATATGTTACAATTTAGACACAAATGAAAGTTGACCTCAATAGTCCTTAGATATTACGAGATTTTAGAGAGGGTTGCACCAATGACTTATCGATTAGCGTATCACCAAAGATGGAGTGCGTCCATAGTGTGTTATATTTTCAATGCTTAGGAGATATCACTATGTTCATTAACATGTCATTTTTATGAAGCCAATTGAGGTGAGTCTCAACTTAATATATGAAAGAATCGTTAAGGATCTTAGTTCGGGAGATCAAGAAACTTCGAAACAAAAGAATTCCCCTAGTGAAAATAGTATGGAGGAATCATGAACTTGAGGAAGTCATATGAGAACCAGAAGGGTCTATATAACTTTACTATATACATATTCTTTGAAAATGGGAGAGATATAACTACTTAAATTTTTTAATAAATATGTCTGAGAGTAAACCCAAGTTATAGATGGATCAATTTGTAAGCACTATTATATTCAATATACAAGGTTTGAGGTCAATCGAAAGAGAATCGAGCTCAATTAGTCATAAAAAAAGATATTTTTAAATAAGTGATAAATGAGAAAGTACAAATAAAGTAATGATCCCATTGATGAAAAATTGGATTTAATCTCTGTTTAATATCTTTTGTTAGTACGAAGGGAAAGTGGCATAACTGATTTTAGTAACCTAATAGATAAATTTCCTTAATTACATGTATGATTCTTGTGACATCAAATACAAAACTATGTTAACTGCATTGTATAAATTGTTTCTGCAATATTAATATTGTTATTAAAAAATATAATCTTAACATTCATATGATGTAAAGATTAAAATGAATGACAAATGTCATGATTATTTAAAAAGAATGCTTTTCATAAAATTAAAAGGTTTTTTTTACAAAATTAATGTCTTTTTAGTGTCTTCTTTAATTAAAAGAGGTGTCTTATACCTCTGTGAACTATGATTTATGTTCTTCTTAGTTTTAAATACTCATTTATAATCAATAAATTAATTTTCACCTTCATATAATGAGATAATATTTTAATTTTATTGTGTTGTATAGAGTTATACTATTGATGTGATATATTGATAATATTACTAAAGTTCCATTTTAATTAATACATGACAAGCATCGTTTTACTCGTCAAATAAAATCTTCTTCTCAAATAAAATAAATAGAAATAGGTAATAAAGTGAAAAAAATGGTCGATCCATGAGAACTTAGAAGTTCTTGATGCAATTTCGTGTTGATTTCAATTTAGGGAGTTGCAACAAAAATAAACAAAAAGGGAGTTTTGGCTAGTAAGAGATAAAGACAGGTAAATGAAGTGAAAGATAAAGAATTAAAATTGAAATAAAATAAAAGAAAGCATAAATAGAAATTTAAAACAATAATGACAAAATCGCCTCGAGCTAACTTTGTTTTAATTCCGTTTGATCATCAAAATGGATTTTGACTCAGGGATTCTTGCTGGTTATAGTCTACAAGGCCCAACCCATTGTAACTTTCCTTTCTCTTTGGTAACCATTCTTCCCAAGTCACTCTTCGAAAGTCGATTCTTGAATGGACAAACAACAACTATTTTCGTTAGAACAAACATATTAAGTTTTGAAAAAGCCCGACTCAGATTATGTTGTCACGTCGAGAATCGAATTCGATCCCGATTTTCATTAGCAGATCGCCACTGAGTGTGTTCACAGGAAGTCAAATATGTCACAGTCCGATTCTTCCTCCCAACTTTAAATTAAAACAACATTCAGACCAACATAGACTTTTTGAAATGAAAGCGTTTTAATTTTGAAAGTAAGGCCAATTGCCAAACTAATTAAATATAAAATTGATAATGTAATCCGAAGGTGTTTAGTGCTTTTCAATTCTTACGTGTGGAATTGATTCATTGCTAGCTCTCGGCTAATAAAGAAATTAGCTAAGCATGATATGAATAATGTCTAACATGCTTTATGAAAATCAATAAAAATTTAAATTAAAGATAGAAATGAAAATAAAAAGGAAACTTTATAAAATCAAAAATAAAATAACAAGGTAAAAGTTAAGATGTCTAAGCCTTACCTTATGGAGGGTATTTACAGGCTTCTAAATCCTAAAAATAACAAGGAATTCAAAATGAAAATAATACTAAATCTCAAAGATAATTCAAATGTTTTAAAATCAAACTTAGAAGCTAAATTTCCTAAAATATCTCCTTATATCGTGCTGACTAGGCTTCTTCTAGAGTCTTCTTCGTGCTGATTGGGTCTTCTAGAAACTACCACGTCAAACCCACATCGTGCCTAGCATTGTGCCCATATCTACAGCCGCGATAAGGAAATAAAAAATATGCAGAATACGCCCTTTTGCTTCCAATTCTGGAAAATAGATCATTGCACAAAAGTAAATGCAACACAACTCTAATCAATAGTGATATATTCATAAAAAGGGATAAATAACAAGTGAAAAGTATCAATTTAAAATGCTCATCAAATTCCCCTTCACTTGTCTCATGCTTGTCCTCAAGCATGCTTTGATCAAATTGGTCAAAACTCAACCTACCTTTCTCCTCCTCGTCTCATACCAAAGTAAATTATGCAATCCAAGTTCAAAATAATTACTCGAATCAAGATATCAATCAATTGAAATACAATATTAGGATCAAGTCAAACAAAATTGTAACGTTCAATCATTCATCAATCTTAATTCAACCTAATTCAATTCCTCACAAAGGTTCACTCAATGTGTTTTGGGTGCAAGAACACTCAAAGTCGAAACTAAACATGAATTTTCATAAGCTTGTAATACAATCAAATCTAAACTACTTAATAGAAACAAGATGCAAAGATCATTGGGTCTTTAAAAAGGGTGTTACGGGGCTTAGGTAAAGGTGAGGGAAAGGGCTAGAAATGAGGTTAATAATCAAGACAAAGAGTTCTTTAAATAATCAAACCAAGTCCACGAGAAAATTAAGATAAATATCAAACAATCATTTTCTTTCTTTTTTTCTTTTTTCTTTTTCTATTATTTTCGAATGCTGCTATTTTTTTCGTGGAACAAGAGCGCATAAACTACAATTATTTATCTTGACAAGGGTGGAAGAAATGGAAAAATAAAAGGCTTGGGTTTTAGAGATGTGGTGAAAGCAAAGAAAATGATATAGGCTCTGTAACATCCCAAAAATCGGGTTAGTGACAAAAGTACAAGATTTTAAAACTTTGTTGTCAATTTTGAAGAATTGAGAAATTTAGGGACTTAATTAGAGTATCTTTGTGTAGGATTGAATAACAAAGTTTGAAAGAGAAAGGGGCATAATGGTCATTTAATAAGGGAATAAATTAAAAAATTCATTATTTGGTATTATTTATACACATGGAGAAAGGAAAGAAGGGTAAAAGAAATATCTGGAGACTTAGTTCAGCTCTCTTCTTATTCTTATTCTTCTTCTCTTCCTGTAACTCCTTTGGAAGGTGAGTTGGTCTCAGACTGATTATTTCTTTCAATTTTAATTTGGTTTTTATTCTTGAAGTGTTAGAAAAGTTTAAGGAAGTTTAAAGAGAGGCAAAAACTAAAGTATTTATAAATTATGAGAGATTGAATGTATTGGGTTTTTAAGTGAATTTTGAGAAATAGTTAGTAAATGAATTTTTAAGTGAAATTTGACTTGTCATAAGTTGGGATAAGAAATCTAAAGTGTTAGAAATAGATTTGGGGTATGTTGATTATTTGGTGTGACTTTTGTTTCCAAGGGTTCTATGAGGATTTTGGATGGTTAAGTGTGGTTAAGTGATATATGTTAGTTTTAATAAGTATATTTGGGTTTAATGATTTGAAAAGAGTTAAAAGAGTTGAAGTTAAGAAAGTTTTGGAATTTTTTTGTATAATAAGTAAGTTCTGGGAAAGAGGTATCGGTATTGGATGAACAATACTGATACTTCAAAGTAAAAATAGGTGATATTTGGGTTTGGGTATCGATACTGGAAAAATAGTATCGATACGAATAGGTAAATTGTATGAAATCCTTTATTCAGTATTTATATCGAATGAGTAATATCGATACCAAGCGGTATCGATATCAGTGAGCAAGTATCGGTACCATTTTGAAGATGAAATTCTAGAATCAAAATTGGGTATCGATACTGAAGTATAGTATTGATACCGGTATTGTACCTTGGGTAGTGATACTATTCAAAGTGAAATAGTGA